ATCAAGACCCCCAAATTTCACGATGATCTGATTTCACGATAATCCGCGACAATAATTATTGCGATATTTTTTTGGCTTATATTATCTCTTAAAACGGTTAGAATATATTAGTACATCGACATATTCATTGCTATTAACAAGATGCTTATTCCTTTTTACCACCTTTACGTTCATAAGAATTGCATGGATTATATTTCTTTATATTTCATCTAATATAAATAGATTAACCATCTTTCCATCAGGTTCAAACCAATTATTCTATCATGCAATTTTACAATGTATTTTTATGGAAACAGTTTGTTCTTCCTTTTTGTTTGCTGGATATTGTATTTTCACCTTTATTATAACAGAAAATTCTCAACACATAATTATATTAGTATCGGGAAATGGTTTGGTGATTTTATTTTATATTATAATTATAATATTTAAAAATTATGGTTTTTTCAGGGCTTTGTACGGAGAATTGTGTGCAAACCTATTATTTTCATGTCAAATATGTTCGAAAGAAAAAATTAGTCCAATATGGTGCCAAGAATGTAGTGTTAAATACCTTGTGAATAATTTTAATAATTGGACTAGTGGAGATCAAGTAATTGATAACGCTATAAAAGATATACAAACAAAATCAAAAATCCCTATCGATTTCGTGGAATGGATTCCATATGAACAATTAGAAAAGGGTGGAGAGATTGGTAGTGGCGGATTTGGAAATATTTATAATGCTTTTTGGAAACAGGGTCCAATCTCTATGCATGGGGGTGAGTTCAAAAGAACAAGAGGAATTAAAGTGGCATTAAAAAGACTAAAAAGTGACTCTTTTCTAAATGATGACATTGAAAATTATAAGAATGAGGTAATTTTTTTTTTCCAAATACTTAAAACACTAATATATATCTATTTATTCATCAGTTTTATTTCTTAACTATTTTATATTTGCATAGCTTTGTATGCATATAAATTGCTGTACAAATTTAAATATTTACACAACTGGAGCTGAATTCAAAACTGGAAGATCACCAATTCTTCGTTGTTATGGTCTTACTAAAGATAATGAAGGATACATGCTTGTAATGCAGCTTGCAAAACACGGTGATTTAGAAAGTTATTTATTATCAGAAAATTTTAAACAAATGAAGTGGCTCGATAATAAATTACCTATTCTTGCTAACATTGTAAATGGGCTCAATATTATTCATAAGGAAGGCCTAATTCATTGTGACCTCCATTGTCGTAATATTTTAATTGGTAATCGTAACATAGCTTATATTACTGACTTTGGATTATCAAAATTTTATCATTATGACGATAAAGTTTCTGAATCGCCAGTATTTGGTAGAATGCCATTCGTTGCTCCAGAAGTTCTTCAAAACAGAAATTTTAGTCCTAAATCAGATATTTATAGCTTTGGAATTATTATGTGGATGTTTTCTTCTGGAAATTTACCATTTCATAGCCGTGAATATGACAATAACTTGTTATTAGATATACTTGACGGTGTTCGTCCTCAAATAATAGAGGGGACGCCACCTTGTTTTGTTAATTTAATGCAAAGATGTTGGGATCCTAAACCTGAAAAAAGACCATCATCATCAGAAATTTATGATATAGTATGTTCATGGTATTATTTAAAAAATTATAAGGAATTTAAGACTGCTGATAAAGTACAAAATATTCAAAAGATACAAAATAATAGTCCAAAATTTCCAGATAATATCAGTCCAGAATTTCCAGATAATACTAATCCAGAATTTTCAGACAAACAAAATTGTATTGAGAACAATACAAATTCGAAATTAACAACAGACCAATTTCAAGGTATATATTTATAATAAATTTTGAAAAACATGTATAATGCAGTATTAATTCAAGTCTTTTTATTTTAGATTCAACTTGCATGGATTTAGAAGTTGAATGAAATAATTATTAGAATAATTTACTATCAAATCGCTGAAATTTTTATATTTATAAATCAGCCAATTTATTATATAAAATTAGCCAATTATAATTGATTATTATAATCGTTGATAGTTTTTTTACTAAACTAGTTTTTTTTTACTAACCAAAGTGCTAGTTTCTTCTATAACAAAACCGCGTAAGGTTGGAAGTTTTCTCATGGTTCGTTCATATTCATTTGCTGTCTGGTGTATCTAAATTAATAACCCTAACGAGTTGTCAACCAAAGTAATGGTTGCAATACATGACTCATGTTCAAAAACAATCGAAGGCTAACGTTACGAGAAGTTCATATAGCATTTTTAGCATTTTCTATTATTTTGTATTAAACTTATAATAGTATCAATTATATAACACAAAAAACTTACTTTTGCTAAGCTTTGTTTGTTTATTAGTCTTTTACCAGACTAGGGATTTAGTCGATTAGCTTACTATAAAAATTTTTGGTCGACTAAACCGATTCCAATCCTTATACCAGACCATTACGTTTTTGACTTTCTTTCATTTTTCTCTTTTTTCTCACTACAGTATTCATTTTTGAATAAGAGCATATATAAATATTTGAGCAATAGTAAATCAAATATTAATTTTATTAACTATATAACAAAAATAAACCTAGTTTTGTTTGTTCACTAGCCTTTTGCCGACCCATTTGTCCAGTGTTATGTTTTTTTTTTTTTTATTCGTTGTTCGCTTTTGAAATATCTGAAAATTAAAGGTATAATATTATTAATAATAGTTTATACTTAACAATAAAAAAAAATATTACCCTCGCTGACATATTTAATAATAGTTGCTCAAATAAAAAAAGTTTTTTTTGAAAAAAACAAAATATTATTTGTGTAAAAGATTTTTTGAGAATAATGGCGCTTGCTCATATTAAAGAATACTTGGGTGTAAGCGAAAGTGTATGCAGTGGCCCACGAACGCGAAGGGTTTGTTTACAATACACGATATATCACATAAATCACATTGACTTTAACCAATCATATTTTAATATCAGGTGTAACGTGGATATAGAATGTCACAGGTAACATCGCGATCAGATGATTTTTGATCCCGCTCCGAAAGGACCCAACCCGAGCAGATCACAATTTATTATCATAAAATTACAGTATTACATAAAATTAAGTAACGCTACAAGAATTTTATAATTCTTTTTCTATAAGTAAACCTTCCTACAACATCGTCTACTTTGAAGCAATTAAGCTCAAATTGGGTTGATTCAGTTGATGACATTATTTAACGAAAAGTTTAAATCAAATTTTGTAATTTACTGCCATAACGATGGGTGTATCGCTACTAGAGTTGCAATCCGGATAATCCGTCATCCATTTATCCATATCTGAATTTATCTGGACATCCATTTACTATTGATATCCGGATAATATTCGGATAATTATCCGGATAACAATAGTAAACGGATATCCGAATAAATTCAGATCCGGATATCTAATAGATAAATGGATGGATTGCAATTCTAATAGCTACCCTATTGTCGCGTCGTATGATGTCGGGGCTCCAATATTCAAAACCCGCCTATAATGTAATCATTATTACTAATCATAAGCGGGTTTTGAATATTGGAACTCGACATCACACGACGCGACTATTAAATTTCAGGATTTGACTTTCGGACTTTGATTTCAGATTTTGGCATAGACCCGGCGGTAAATTACAAAGCCTCATTTAAATATTTATTGATTCAAGTTGACGTCATTTATTTGAACCATTTAAATATTTATTGATTCAAGTTGACGTCATTTTATTTGAATCATTTTAGCCTTTAGAAGCACTAAAATTAATGCAATTTAGACATAGTACTTTATTATTTGATTGGGTCACTATCATCTGATCGCGAATTTTTTCCGTCATCACTATGTTACCTTAATGTCACCCGTGTGAGTGAGTCAGATAACCAGGTTAGGTAGAGATTGGTTTTCATAAAACCAATACAGTTTCCTCGAATAGGCTGTTTATAACAATGGGTAACTTAAAGAAAAATTTAAATAAAAAATTTATTATTTACGATTCGATATTTTTATTTTGGGTGTGAAAAAGCTTTCACTTTTTATAATTGTTTTTCACTTAATGTACATATTCGATATAACTATTAAATCTAACATATCACTTTATCCTGTCTATCGCTAATCACCTAATCACCCTTAGGTTCTTGATTTTTTGAAA